GTAGACAGTTATTTAGACTTATTAAGGAGACTGGGGGGAAATGGTCAACAACAGTTAGTGAGGTGATGCTATAGCGGAGAAGGATGGATCTGCGATTCACTTGCAGGGGAGACGACTGGAACAATGGGTAGAACACTTCAAGGAGCAGTTTAACTGGCCTCCATCCACCATTGCGTTGCCCGCTATCCAGTCGGATTCTGAATGGGACATAGAGATAGGTCCCCCAACACAGGAGAAGTTGAGAAGGCAGTAGGTAAACCGAAACGAGGAAGGACGGCAGGACTCCTGAGGTATACAAGGATGGTGGTACGGTGCTCTTCGTCAGGTTAACGTAAGTGTTAGCTAGTATATGGGAATGAAATACGATCCCCTCTGACTGGTCTAAGTCACTTATTATCCCAGTCTTCAAGAAAGGCGAGAAGTCCTCTTATGATAACCACAGAGGAATCAGCCTGACGAACATAGTGTCTAAGATCCTAAGTTCTATAATTCTCCGACGCCTGAGTGGAGGTCGGGGACAGTAAGCCCGAGAAAACCAGGCCGATAGGCTTTAGACCCGGCCGCGGGTGTATCGACCAAATTCATATTCACACTGCGCCAGGTCCTGGAACATAGGCACGCTTACAGACGCCCGACAATGTTTGGGATACGTGCTACTTATGTCTAGTCACCTATTGCCTTGTCACACAATGTTGGCTGAAGTAGGTCCAGGCTGGAGCTGGCCAGACTAAAACAAGGCACCGATGTATGAAGTCTTCGACTTTTGGTTTGAACCATGTTAAGCGATGCAGACTTGGTGGTTGGAGTCCTCGGGACAAGAGGGCTCAGAACCTATGTCAGTGGCTCAGATGTATACACACGTTATCCTCATCTTAACGACGCTATATCGAAACTCACCATTTTTTCAGTCGTCCTTTCTCTCTTCTCGTACTTTTTATTTCTTTTGACTGCATTCTCTTATTTTCATCCTTCACCTCACTACCTTTTTACTTGATGTACTGATATGAGGTGTGGCAACTCGGACCGTTACTCACTAATGCCCGGTCCTATGTTGATATTAATGATGATGAGGTGTTGTGGCAGTGTCTTACTGTGAAGGGAGTATCGAGCAAGTATATAACCCTAATCAAAGCTCTCTACTCGACGTCAGACAGCTGTGTAAGAGTGTATGGGGAGTAGTCATCTGGATTGATGACAACCACTGTTGTCCTCCATCGATGCCTTGTGGCACTGTTCCTGTTCAACTTCCTTATAGACTTACTAATGGGCATGATCTTTGGTACCTCTGACATCACAGAGATTGATCTACTCCCTGAAAGGCATGTGGTTGACTTGGAGTACGCAGACTGGATTGTCCTGTTATGTGAAGACACTGACGATGTTTTGAGTCTTGTGAATGCGTTGAACAGAAATTGGAGTACGTTTGGCTGCTATGGGTTTCGCACCTATGAAATGTGAGATGATGCTTGAGGACTAGTGTGCAGCTACTCCCAGATTAGGAATAGGGAGTGAGGTGATGGAATGCATCGAGCACTTCACTTACTTGGGGAGTTGTGTCAGCTCAAACTGGCTGGTTGCTGACGAAATTCCAGGTTGGATGCAGAAGACCTGTTCGGCACTTACCAACTTGCGCCATCTCTGGTGCAGAGTGGTGTGATATCTGACTGCCGGTTAAAGGACAAGTATGTTGAGTTGCAGTTTGCTCTATCCAATTATAAGACTGGAACGGCAGTTGAGAGAAGGAAGTATGAAAAGGATACGGTGTTTTGTCTACAGATGTCTTCGTAGCACTGGTTACGTTTGGTGTAATCATTTCTAGTAATCTCGACAAGTCGGTCTATGAGGTTGTGAACCTTAGTCGACTGAAATAGCTCGGACATGTGCTGCGCATGCCGAGCCTCCGCCTACTTCGACGTGCAGTGTGGGGGGGGTGGGGGTAGTTGGATTAGGTTGGAAGAGTGTTCAGAGTGGCTAGACTATGATGTGGCACTAGTGTATAAAGTCCCTGACTGTTGGTTTGAGCCATGTTGGGAGATGTTGACTATCTGGCTGCGGTCGTCGAGACAATAGGAACCAGTGGTTGATGACTTGGTGAAATCACTGAAAATCAGTTGTAATAGCATAGCTTTGATGTCTTGTAAAGCTTGAATATTTTACTAACTTTTGTTCTCAAACTGTTTTTCCTCCAGTAAACTTTTGTCTATTCTGTCACCAGTCTTTTTCTACGCACATGCTTTGAGTGCTAATGTGAAGTGTGGCAACTTGAACTGCTGCACTTGTGTGAGAGCTTTCATAGTATTGCTATCTGTGCAGCGTTTTACAATAGATAATCTATTATATACATATATAAAGTGAAGAGTAACTTAGAGAACGAATGCTATTTCCATAACATAAGGTATGTTTACGCAGTGGGGAGAAACATCCGACACTGCTGCTTGTTGTTTTGTCTTGTCGCAATAACATCACAGCAACTGCTACCTTTTATTTTCATGAGGGGTCACAACTTATCGATACTATATATATTGTGCACTGTTTATTTCATGCGGTCGTGTCAAGCCCTTTTTAGTCTTCTTTATGTGACTCTCGTAAGGCCTGAAATCATCCCAAAACAGCAGCAAACAGGAAGTAAAAGGCTAGATATTGATCGTTATTGAAATGTCTGATTGGAAATCTTTTTGCATCCACTGGTATCCTATTTACAAGTATGTTGCACTCAGCAAAGTAATATAAAGATTTAAGTTATTGGAATCAAAATATTCCCGTGAGTTAACGAAATATATCTGGTTCACTAGTCTAACACAATAAACCAACCCCATATTCCACATTGAGGATATATATGCAAATCCAGTACTATGTGATGAATCCGAGTAGTCAACACCAGAGACGATATCTGACCAATACTAATTGGTTATGTTTGCCTCAGCTTAGGCTAGAACTTTGAAGGGTTGGACAGTCAGTGTAATTGAGTGTGCCTAAGTATATGTTAATCACCGACAGTTAGCTGAGGTTACGAAGTGCCAGTTATCTACACTTAACTAAAGTTCGCTATATGTCCCCATTGCAACCGTTTTGACCGGCGTGACAATACAGTGTTTCGTGGTGTATCGGCGTCAGTAATGTGTAAGTGAAACGTTGAGTTTTTGGCGGAAAGGGCGTTTGTTGACGGGGTTGTGAACCTGCATTGCCTCAGGTGGCTTGGATGTATGTTATTCTCATGCCTAGTCACCATATGTGGCGTCGCATCGTGGAACCTTGGGTGAAGCAGGTTTAGGCTGGAACACAGTTAGAAGTGGTCAGACTAAAACATGGGATGAGTCTGTAATGTGTGTGAGTGTTGAGATGTGTAGTGGAATGTTGACTTTTGGTTGGTATTCGTATGACAATAGTATTTGATGTTTCAAGGCTGTATGCGATACGGCTCAGGATCGGTGCTTATCGTGTCGATATATCCACACTTTGCTTACACGTTATTCATGTTGTCGGACTTCATCATTGCTTCATTTGTTTTTGTTTTGTTTTCACGAATTTCCTCCTCTTTTGATAGCCTTCATGGTTTTCTATTTTTTGTCTGTACTGTTGGATTTCGCAGTTTAAACCGTTAGTCAGTAATGTCAAGTCGCATGTGAATGTTAATTCACCGATTCACTGACTTTTGGGTTCAGTATCTGTTTGTATATTTCTGGGAGAATTGCAGAAACAGTGTCATTTTGTGCCTAAGAGTTACTCTCGTTATTTGGATTACTTCAACTTTTTTTTTCGCACCATTTTTTCCATTAATTGTTGCTTATTACTAACACACAGTCTTTGTCACTGTTATTTTTACGAAATATCGATAAAATAATTTCTAAATTCAGCAAGTGATTTGTGATACTAATTTTGAACTCTTTGTTTAAGTCACATATCTTTTATCTCTTTTAATAGACCGAGATTCATTCAAGGTTGTCATTTAATCGCCGCGGTCTTGTGGGGATGGCATGCCTTGAAGAAAATATGAATGGTAGTCAGTTTTTCTTCACACTTGGTCCAGCTCCTGAACTTACTGGCAAACATACACTTTTTGGTCGTGTTGCTGGTGATACCTTATTCAATATGCTGCGTCTTGGTGAAGGGGAGATTGGTCGAAATGAAAGACCTTTGAGGCTTCATCGTATTGTCGGTACTTGTGTAAGTCGTGCGGATGAGAAATGGAATATGAGAAGTATAGACGTGCTGATCGCTAAATTTGAAATTGTTCCGCACTTTATTAACTCAATAAACCTGTCAAAAACAGAACATATCGTTCAGAATTTAAAGACAGAAAATCAAAATGGCTTAAAAGTGACATTTACTTCCTCTTACTCAAACAGACTACTTTAGTTTACAGTGGATAAATCGTAATAAGATAGCTTGACGTTTTTGGAGATATGTTTTTGGGAATGGTTGTTATGAACATCACGTCTTCAGAATGAGAAACGATGGGGGAAATGCATAGTTTTAAATGTGTTCTCCATCTGAAAGTAGAATCAAACTTCTGAAATTGCTTGAGGGTCGTATGAGTTTGTAGTACACTGGAGAAAGTAATAACACTGGATGTCGTTCTCACTGTTTTTCTATATAAGGTAGTTATGCTGTAGAGGGATAACAGGTCCATCACACACTAAGGAGCCTTACCTAAACAATAATCTAACTGGGTTTTGTAACACGGCTGAATGGCAAACATTTATGTATAAAATGGCTAAAATCATTTACTTTCTGTTGTAGAATGGCATTGATGCTAGGTCAAATTTTTAATAATTAATAAAATGGAGTTGTAAGACACATTATTTTATAAATATTTTGTATCCTTCGAGCTTTAAGTCTTGTTGTTAGACGTCTCATCAACAGCCAGGTGACTTCATCAGCACTTGCTTCATAAAGAAGGTACCTTATGCTCAATAACTTGTTATGCAAATTATCCTAGTATTTCATTGGTTTTGAATGGTTTGTTTTTATGAGAATTGAAATGAAAAGAAATCTATCCAGGTAACGTGAGAGATATCCCACTGGTTAATATTTCTTGTGCAATGCGTATATTAGTATTTCATCTTCTACTCTATTCAGTTATTTTATTAAGTTTTATAATACTGATTAATTTTTCCAATAGTTCATCACTTTACTGGCATGAGAAATGAACAAAGGCTTTGGTATCGAATCTAGTGATTATTGGTCACACAAAATTACTATTTAGATGCTTACTTTTCAATTAATTTCAGTCTTTTCATGGATAATAAGTTTTCTATTCTGACTTTTGCCTTTTTTAATAGTTCACACAAGCATAGGTAAAGTATTAGGGTGATTATTTGTTCATTTCTACGTATGAACTTATATTTTACAACAGCAATATCTGGCATTTGTTTACCCATCGGTTTAGAAGAAAACTGAAAATCTTGTATCATTGTGTTCTATCTCTTTGTTTATCTTTTTAATTAATCCAACTGTTTTATTACATAGTTAGGAAAATGAAGATACTTTCTATACCTTTTCTCTTTTTCCGTTTGTGTATTTTGAATACCTTCAGCAGGCCAGAATTTTTCGTTTAGGATGATTTGGAATGAAAGCTAACACGATTGTTTGACACATTTGACAGACAGAGTAGATTATGTTGAGTGAACATTTAAGCTGTTAACCGTTGATGGTGCTGTAACCCTACTATCTAAACGATTGATCATCGGCCACTAATTTTATGAGTTCAAAAGTACTTTATCTATTTTCCTATAGAGAACCACTGAGGTGGGCGATATCTTATTCCCCACAAAGTGGAAGATGATCACAGCGTAGACTCTATTTCTATCTTACCAGTCACTGGTAGAATAATGTAAGTTGTCTACCGGTTTTAAGGTTGCGGAAATAGTAGAATGAGAGAAATGTTATTATATACTTCTTAACCTGTATAAATGAAATATAACCCACTTCCGAGCTAACCAGTTTACGCCTATCGTGGAAGTCATGTTTGACTGAATCTAGTAATATTTCCAAGGATGACAGAATACTGAGTCCTCTAACTTATTCTTCTGATAGGTCATACTCAACCCATATGATGATATTGAACCAAGGCAACTCCCCAAGCAATCAGTTAAATCAAATTCTGAGATGAAATCAAAGTGACAGCGAAAGCCACAAAGTAAGTGGAGTTAGTTCACTTGGTTGAATTTTAGTCTTTAAATATGCCCGCATGGCCAATTAAAATAGTTATAAATACTTTTGATGTCAGTAACGTATAACTTGAATGCTAACATTTTGTTTGATAACTGTTAAACTTTTCTTCGAATCGTATGAAGATTACTGCTCAAAAATGGAACTCATTTCTAATTTTGATGTGAATATATATATGCACTTCACATTGTAAGGAAGGGGAATGTGGTAATTCATGAAAAAGTTTTTTGAACTCATAAATGCTCTAATGGATCGGAATTTCTCTGCTAAATGTATTTCCATACCAGCTGTATTAGGACATCACTTAGTGTTCAGGTTTATTCTAATTTAGTTTACAAGGATATATGGCTCAACTCGATTTATGTCGAGAAAATAGGTTATAAAGCTATTTACAGTGTTGATTTACTGACCAAATTCCATTGAAGTTTATTCGTGATGTTAATTTACGGGTTCATTTTGTGCTAAAGATTAAACTACAATCTTTATATCTTCGGTGTTTTAGGAATTTCTCCCTACTGTCTTTTGGAGAGGAAGCTGAGGAAGAAGAAGAGGTTGTAAACACAGTTGTTGAGGTAACTGCGTACACTTACTTCGTTTTTAGCACTAAATCATTGTTATGTCCCAGTCAGTAATTGATATAAATATTTCATAAAGTGAATTTCTCATTATTCAAACGTGTAATTATTGAAATCTCACAGGATTTTATTTTTTGTTGTTTTTAGAAGTTTCGACAGAAGGGTAAAAGTGCTCATGACCTCCTGTCTGATCCTCGTCTTAGTTCAATACCTGTGACAGTAAGTGAAGAAGATGCTGAAGCAGTTAGCCTTGCAAAATCAGAATTAGAACAGGAAATCCAAGAAAGACAACGAAGGCGTGAAGAAGCTCGCCTTCACGAAGATGAAGCCAAAGCCAAACGAATGCAAGTCAACTAATATATTCGTCTTTTAGATTTTTCATATAGTTGGATTTGATCGTCTCATGCTGTATAGCTTTTGGATTACTTAAATGTGTTGCTGAATCCAATTTTATTTCTTGCAACTCATTAAACTATTTCCAGTTGTATTGGTTAGAAGTAGTTTCATCTTTATTGACACTACGCTTAGGAAAGTGAGTTCGAATATTTGGTAATTGCCCTCATTTCCTAAAAACAGAGTCTCGGGATCCTTGCTGGTTGCTGTCAACCAGCAAATATAGTACACCTCCATTTTTACTCACTTGGCTAATATTGAGGCTTAAACGACTTTGGTTACTATACAGTAGCCGATTAGTAATGTAAAACTTACTTGAATGATTACAAGTGGCAGTATATTTGCCTGTTTAATTTACTTGTCGCTTCCAACTATACTTTTCTTTTTTAAAATAAAGTCTCATTCATTTATTTGGTTAGTGAAACGTCTAAATTGTGTTTTGTTACTTTTTATAGCGAAATGTTACGCCAGGAAGCTGAAGAACTACGCCGTCAAATTTCTTTTTCAAAACGAGCTGAAAAAAATCAACAATCAAGGGAAAAGGAGGAAATAGAACGTAAAGCCCGTGAGGCAGAGGAGGAAAGAAAGCAAGAGGAAGCTGCTTTAGCTCGGTGGGAAGCTAAACAAAGATCTGAACTTGATGGAGATACAGCAAAGTTCCAGCCTTTGGTCGATGATCTGGATACCTTTTCAGCTGATTTTGCTAGTTACAAAGCGAAGTCAAAGAAGGTGAAAAAGGTCAGGAAGTGGTTCAGTTTTATTAGTTTTGTGCATTATACTTCGTGTCGTAATGCGGTTGAAATTTTTCTAACTCATTTCATTCTGGAGTATATGCAATATTTGTTATTATTTAAGATTTTGGCATGATATCCACATATGCAATGAATGTTAGTGATAACCGCGTAGCAGTTTTTCGACTACATGTTAGTTAATTTTATTTTAAAGTTACTATTATTTGATAGTCACTCTCTTTGAAGCATTTTTTTACCCAGCAATGAAACACCTTAGGTAAATGGATGGGGGATAGCTTGCCTGGTGAAGTAATAAACCATGGACCGGAGTTAATATATCACTTTTCGCCTTATTGTGTACACTGATGTTTTTTGAAAGGCAGTATCAGTCTTCTCAAGTACGGATTACAAGAACTAGTAATGCGTAGGTACTCGAACATGAACTACATCTGCTTTTTGAGAGTATTCGTAATACCTGACTGTTTAATCTCAGTAGGTCGCGCTGGATTGAAAAATATGATCTACTTGTTGAAAAGCTAATAACCAAAGCAAGGCGTTATAGCTCCATATACGCTGTATTATCCCCAACTGAGAGTTTCCGGTTCTTTTCCTTTAGTTAAGTCTGAACTATTTTCAGTTTCAAAAGACTCAAAAATGACAACTCTACATCTTTTCTGGATTCCTAGGGAAGCAGCATTTTTATGTTTTCACTTGTCTCTATCGTTTTTGTTTACCAGTATATCTGATTAGCCCGACCGATAGCTGCTACTTTGACGTGGTGGTCGGGCTTGCATATCTCAATGACCTTATGAGTTATGCTGGTGGAACATTTGTTCCCTCGAGGTCCTACCATACCAGAAAGGTCTGTTAGGTAGTGATTAAACGAAAAGCAGTTACCGTTGTGGTGTAAGTTACTACACTATGATGGGGGTCCGAGGGCGAAGTCTTACTGCTGCTAGCTGGATGGGGTGTGACAGCGGTAAGGTGTTTCCTTAATATAGGTGTAAAACTTGGGCACTGTGGTATAATTTAATCTTATATTAGATTTGTTTATTTGATTTATAACACATAGTGATCTAGTATTATTTACTTGATAACGTTTCGAGCATAAATTATGTGTGTTATAAATCAAATAAACAGATCTATTATGGAAGTAAGCTGTTTCCCTTGGATAACCAGAAGTTCTATGCCGATGCTACCTTCTTAGTGTAGAGGGGGGGGGTTAGAAAAGGTCAGCCCCAAAAATAATACACCCTACCACACCCCACGGTCTGTTCGGCCGGCGGTGCTTTTTCATTTGTCGTTTGTTTTCGACCATTCGGCCCCAAAAATACAAAATTTCAAAATCCTCATACTCAAAAGACTGCGTGTGACAGGCCTCAAGCAGATGTCCGATGGGCTGTGCGGTCACACAAATCTCTTTCAGGTACCTTAAGAAGAAATAGCCTTCCACGGTGTGGGCAGCCGGGAAGTGTCAACCGCCCTCACAACTCTGTCAGCATTCAAGTTTCTTCTGACTGCTATCCTCCTCCTCCATCATTACCTCTTAATCTTCCTTCACGTCTCTCAATTAATGATGCTGCATCATCTTCAATTTCTCCTAGCTCTGTAGTCTTCGACAACGATGTGAGTCCACAGAACAGCATCTCTGGTCTCCTTAAACCACGCTCCAAATTACACATTGGAGTCTTCAATGTCCTCATCGTCCGTCAAATTAGTCAACAGACTTCGTTGGCAAAGACTCTAGCAACTCGGGCCATGGATGTGTGCTGTGTTTGTGAGACACGCATACAGGACCCAAGTGTGGTTATTCACCTGACCTCTCACGGCTAATCTGACGAATCCGTGAAATTCACCCTTCGAGTTTCTGGAGATTCGATGGCTAGCTCTCGTGGTCTAGCAGGTGTAGGTATAGCATTAAGCACTAGGGCAGAAAACTCACTACTAGACTGGATTCCAGTTGATAGTCGCCTCTGCGCTATGCGACTGAACGGCACGGTGAGAACTAAAAGGAATAGTGAGACTCGCCGTTGTCTCTTTGTAATCTGTGCTTACGCACCCACTAACTGCAGTTTAGAAGAAGTGAAGGAGTGGTTCTACCAAAAGCTGTCTAGCCTCCTCTCGAAAGCCAAACGTTCGGACGTGGTGGTTGTTGCAGGTGATTTCGACGCACAGGTGGGTAGACTGAGTGAGGCAGACAGGCACTTGGGTAGCACTTTCGGCATCCCGGTTGAACGAACAGACAACGGTGATCGCCTACTACAACTGTGCTCAGATAACCGCTTATTTTTAGTTGACATAAAGAAAGGCACCGTCTGACGTGGCGTCCACCGAGCTCAACTTAGCGATGGACACAGATAGACTACATTGCTATTAGTCATTGGTGGAGAGGATCGGTGGAAGATTGCGCTTCTTCTGGATTACGTGTTTGGATAGTGGCCACACGTTGTTCCGAGCGCGTATGTGCCTGCGTCTCAATGGATGCAGAAAAAATTTGGCAACAAAACCATTACGAGTGCAGCTCGACAACGAAAATACCAGAGCCGTGTTCAGTGAGAAGTTGGCTAGGCAGTTATCGGAACAAAAGACTGCCACTCATCCAGAAGAAGCTCGGTGCCATCTTCAGTCTGCTGTAAAAGCAGCGTTGAAGACTGTAGCCGACTCCAAAATAGTGGCTGAAAAGAGCCAGTGGATATCATCAGCTTCTTCCGAAGTAATGGATGCACGTGAACGCATCCCTGCAGGCTCTGAGTACAATGAAGAGCGAGCGCAACTTAAAAGTAGATTGAGAAAAAGTCTACGCAGCGATCGCGAACAGTGGTGGGCAGCGAAGGCTAAAGAGATAGAAGAGGCAGCGGCGATCGGTAATAGTAGACAGTTATTTAGACTTATTAAGGAGACTGGGGGGAAATGGTCAACAACAGTTAGTGAGGTCTATAGCGGAGAAGGATGGATCTGCGATTCACTTGCAGGGGAGACGACTGGAACAATGGGTAGAACACTTCAAGGAGCAGTTTAACTGGCCTCCATCCACCATTGCGTTGCCCGCTATCCAGTCGGATTCTGAATGGGACATAGAGATAGGTCCCCCAACACCAGGAGAAGTTGAGAAGGCAGTAGGTAAACCGAAACGAGGAAGGACGGCAGGACTCCTGAGGTATACAAGGATGGTGGTACGGTGCTCTTCGTCAGGTTAACGTAAGTGTTAGCTAGTATATGGGAATGAAATACGATCCCCTCTGACTGGTCTAAGTCACTTATTATCCCAGTCTTCAAGAAAGGCGAGAAGTCCTCTTATGATAACCACAGAGGAATCAGCCTGACGAACATAGTGTCTAAGATCCTAAGTTCTATAATTCTCCGACGCCTGAGTGGAGGTCGGGGACAGTAAGCCCGAGAAAACCAGGCCGATAGGCTTTAGACCCGGCCGCGGGTGTATCGACCAAATTCATATTCACACTGCGCCAGGTCCTGGAACATAGGCACGCTTACAGACGCCCGACAATGTTTGGGATACGTGCTACTTATGTCTAGTCACCTATTGCCTTGTCACACAATGTTGGCTGAAGTAGGTCCAGGCTGGAGCTGGCCAGACTAAAACAAGGCACCGATGTATGAAGTCTTCGACTTTTGGTTTGAACCATGTTAAGCGATGCAGACTTGGTGGTTGGAGTCCTCGGGACAAGAGGGCTCAGAACCTATGTCAGTGGCTCAGATGTATACACACGTTATCCTCATCTTAACGACGCTATATCGAAACTCACCATTTTTTCAGTCGTCCTTTCTCTCTTCTCGTACTTTTTATTTCTTTTGACTGCATTCTCTTATTTTCATCCTTCACCTCACTACCTTTTTACTTGATGTACTGATATGAGGTGTGGCAACTCGGACCGTTACTCACTAATGCCCGGTCCTATGTTGATATTAATGATGATGAGGTGTTGTGGCAGTGTCTTACTGTGAAGGGAGTATCGAGCAAGTATATAACCCTAATCAAAGCTCTCTACTCGACGTCAGACAGCTGTGTAAGAGTGTATGGGGAGTAGTCATCTGGATTGATGACAACCACTGTTGTCCTCCATCGATGCCTTGTGGCACTGTTCCTGTTCAACTTCCTTATAGACTTACTAATGGGCATGATCTTTGGTACCTCTGACATCACAGAGATTGATCTACTCCCTGAAAGGCATGTGGTTGACTTGGAGTACGCAGACTGGATTGTCCTGTTATGTGAAGACACTGACGATGTTTTGAGTCTTGTGAATGCGTTGAACAGAAATTGGAGTACGTTTGGCTGCTATGGGTTTTGCACCTATGAAATGTGAGATGATGCTTGAGGACTAGTGTGCAGCTACTCCCAGATTAGGAATAGGGAGTGAGGTGATGGAATGCATCGAGCACTTCACTTACTTGGGGAGTTGTGTCAGCTCAAACTGGCTGGTTGCTGACGAAATTCCAGGTTGGATGCAGAAGACCTGTTCGGCACTTACCAACTTGCGCCATCTCTGGTGCAGAGTGGTGTGATATCTGACTGCCGGTTAAAGGACAAGTATGTTGAGTTGCAGTTTGCTCTATCCAATTATAAGACTGGAACGGCAGTTGAGAGAAGGAAGTATGAAAAGGATACGGTGTTTTGTCTACAGATGTCTTCGTAGCACTGGTTACGTTTGGTGTAATCATTTCTAGTAATCTCGACAAGTCGGTCTATGAGGTTGTGAACCTTAATCGACTGAAATAGCTCGGACATGTGCTGCGCATGCCGAGCCTCCGCCTACTTCGACGTGCAGTGTGGGGGGGGGGATGGGGGTAGTTTGATTAGGTTGGAAGAGTGTTCAGAGTGGCTAGACTATGATGTGGCACTAGATTTGCTTTTGTCAATTGACGCCATCTATGGGGCCGCCGTGATATTCGTTTGTCTAGTAAGGGTCGCGTGTACTGCACAGCAGTCCGCTCTGTTCTACTGTATGGCTGTGAAACATGGCCATTGAAAGTGGAGGATAAGAGAAGGCTTGAAGTTTTTGACCACCTTTGCCTTCTTAGTATATGCGGTATTCCGTGGTGTCACCATGTGAGTAACGCAGAAGTCAGGAGTAGAGTTTTAGGGAGAAGAGGTACTTCATTTGATAAGGTTGTAAGCGCCGATTGAAGCTCCAGTAATGTGGGTGTTATTTAGTAGCTGCTCATAAGTACTCTTAGCTATATTTCAGAAAACATTTAATGTTTATTTTGAAGGGTTCTGACCGTGAGGCCTCTACTCTGTCACTATTAGAACGATTTGGCAGTCGCCTGCGTGCTGTTATAGGCTCAGGAGAATCGAATGGAGATCCGTGCAAATTTTCAGCCATGGATGACTGGTACGTTTTGCATATGTTTTCTTTTTGGTCACAATCATGTTTACAGTTTTACTGTGTGAATATTTATTTTGGTTTACATCCATTCTGACTTGAGACTAGTGATGAAAAAATTACTCAGTCCGCTTTATGTTTTAATAAATCACTAATTCTTTTGTTCGTTCTTGTTGACTGATGTGCCTTCAGAAAGTATTTTTCATTAGTCACGAGCACATAGAATAAACTAAGTGCCACATACCCAGGGAAATCAACATTCAGAAAAGTCTTAACACCCGATATTCATTTCACATATGTCCAAACCAAGTTGAGATATAGTGATTTCAAACATTTTTCTGGGTCGGGTAAATGAAATCTATTATTTTGGTACTCTTATTTCCCGGCAAATGGAAAACAATAAAATCAACCTTGTTTAATTTCTCTCTGTCATTGAGGTTTCCATTGTGGATCACTTGGCATGTGGCGTTTTCACATGACTGTTGAAGCAGTTGTCTGCCGAATTACTTTCCAGTTGACACTGTCGAAGGCCTTTTCAAAATCGATGAAGTTGAGGTGGAGAGTTGACTGCCATTCTATGCTCTGTTCAATAATGATGCGTAGCGTAGCGTTGCAATTTGATCCGCATATGATTTGTTTCTCCTGAAGTCAGCCAGCAAACTGTTCCTGGTCGAGAGCATTTTTCAGTCTCTCCAGGATGATGCGGCATAATATTTTGCTTGAGTGGACAGGGACAGGAGCATGATTCCGCTCCAGTTCTTGCAAACACTTAGGTCTCCCTTCTTTGGGAGTTTGACCAGGTAGCCCTTCTTCCAACCGACAGGCAGTTACCTTTGCCTCCTTCCTTCCAAACCTTCTGCAGTAGTGGTGTGGTGTGGTGTGGTGTTAGCATGTGCGCTGCTGTTGTCTCTGCTTCAGTTTTCAGTGCTTCTGGATGGATTCCATTTGGTACTGCTGCTTTCCCGAATTTCAGCAGCTTTATGGCGTTCAGGAATTTAATTCATCTTTTGTCGGGAGGCTTGTGTTCACTGTTAGTTCTGTCTGAGCTGCTGGTGGTATTTCTGGACGAGTTAAAGTTGGTGATGGTGGTCGATTGGATAGTTTTTTGAAGTGGTCAGCCCATCGTTTCTTTTGTTTCTCCTCTTTGGTAACCGGGTTTCCTTCACTATCTTTCATTGGTTTCATCTGAGTTGATCTCTTTCCTCCCGAAGAGTAAGTAACCTGGTTATTTGATATAATGTTATCAGGTCTTTGTCTCTCCTACCTGCAGCCTGTTGTGCTTCACTTTTCAGTGTGTCGTAGAAGTGTCTTTTGTCTTTGGGTGCACTCTTCTTCACTTCTTTGTTCAGTGTAGTGTTTTATGTGTTATGATCAGTTCCTCTTTTCGTAGTTCATCCCTGCACTGCACTGATTCACCATCTTCCTCTCCCTGCTCTATCAGCTCCCATGTGGAGATCCGTCGAGATCCATTCCTTGTCTTGCCTTTTCTTCTTCCTTCCTAATACGGTTATGCAGGTTTGCTTCCACGTCTCTTTCACAGAGTTCCAGTGTTCTCCCATGTAGGTTTTCTCGAGGATGTTGCTCAATGTCTCTCATTTTGTCCTGATGACTGACTGGCGTGAGGATGTCCTTTTTAGTTTTGTTCTTAATTTCAGTTTCTGTTCTGGGTGGTGAACTTGAACTGTAGTCTATCATCAACTTTTTGTTCAAATGCTTTCAACTTGATTTTCAAGGGTAGGTTCCTTGCACTAGACAGTGAGTGATGTGAATCCACATCTGTTCCCCTTCTTGATCTTGTGTCTAGTAGGTTACGTCTCCACATTCTTCACATTGAGGTGGAGTCGATTTGATTTTTAGTGTAGTGTGTCCTGGTGTGGTGTCTGGTGAAATCCATGTCGCTGGCTTGCGAATATCCTTGTGTTTGTACACACTGTCTGACTCCAATCACCAAATCGTTGAATGTGCAGAAGTCTCCAAACAGTTCTCGATTCTCGTACATTTCACCGAGTGCCTCTCGACCCATGCATGATTGGTTCTCTTCTTGTGTTGTCCGCTCCCAGTTTGGCTCATCATTATTATTATCAACATAGGACCAGGCATTACTGCGTAACGGTCCGAGTTGCCACACCTCATATCAGCACATCAAGTAAAAAGGTAGTGAGGTGAAGGATGAAGATAAGTGAATGCAGTCAAAAGAAATATAAAGTACGAAAAGAAAAGAAAGAGGAGTGACAAAATGGTGAGATTCGGTATAGCGTTGTTAAGATGAGGATAATGTGTGTATACATCTGCGCCACTGACTTCGGTTCTGAGCCATATCACCTAGGGTCTCCAACCACTGGTTCCTCTTGTCCCGTGGACCCCAACCACCTAGTCTGCATCGTCCTACATGGCTTAAACCAACAGTCAGAGACTTCATACATTGGTGCCATGTTTTAGTCTGGCCACCTCGGGCCTTTTTCCAGCCTGAACCCACCTCAGCCAACATTGTGTGACGAGGCAATCGGTGACTAGGCATACGTAGTACGTGTCCCAACCATCTCAGTCGATGAAGGTTCACAACCTCGTCGACTGACTTACCTCTTCTCCCCAAAACTCTACACCTAACTTCTGCATTACTCACATGGTGACACCACGGAATACGTCCTATACTACGAAGGCAACGGTGGTCAAACACCTGAACCCTTTTTGTCTCCTCCACTTTCAATGGCCATGTTTCACAGCCATACAGTAGAACAGAGCGGACTGCTGTGCAGTACACGCGACCCTTAATAGACAAACGAATATCACGGCGGCGCCATAGGTGGCGCAAATTGGCAAAAGCCAATCGAGCCTTTTGTATCCGTGCAGAAATCTCATCGGCAACTAACCCACCGGGGTTGATCCTACTTCCCAGGTAAGTGAAGTGGTCAACACACTCAACCACTTCACTCTCTATTGTTAACCGCGGTACCGCTGAAGACCAGTCCTGGAGCAAAAATTTGCATTTGGGTGGTGAAAATCGCATCCCAAACATTCTCAAATTCCCACTCAAAGTGTTCAGAAGACTCTGCATCTTGTCAGCGTCTTCACCTAACAGGACTATGTCATCTGCATATTCTAGATCTAAGGAAAATTCACCTGTGATCCGGTCAACGTCTTTGTAATTAGGTGACGAGAGGGAAACCTCCATAAGAATATCTATGATAAAATTAAATAAGAATGGGGATAGTGGGCATCCTTGACGGACACCACTTGATGAGTATAGCTCCCTGGACAACTCACCATAGGCTCTAACATGCCCACAAGTGTTCGAGTAGAGAGCTTTCAATAAGGTGATGTACTTACTAGGCACGCCTTTCAGTGACAGACACTGCCATAAGACTTCTCGATCAACGGAGTCAAATGCCGCCTTCAGGTCGAGAAATACAGCTATTGTCGGGCGTCTGTAAGCATGCCTATGTTCCAGGACCTGGCGCAGTGTGAATATTTGGTCGATACATCCACGGCCAGGTCTAAAGCCTGCCTGGTTTTCTCGGGCTTGCTGTTCCCGAGCTCCACTCAGGCGTCGGAGAATTATAGAACTTAGGATCTTAGACACTATGTTTGTCAGGCTGATTCCTCTGTGGTTATCACAAGAGGACTTCTCGCCTTTCTTGAAGACTGGGATGATCAGTGACTTAGACCAGTCGGAGGGGATCGTATTTGATTCCCATATACTAGCTAACACTTACGTTAACCTGACTAAGAGCACTCTACCACCATTCTTGTATACCTCAGGAGTCCTGCCGTCCTTCCTCGTTTCGGTTTACCTACCGCTTTCTCAACTTCTCCTGGTGTTGGGGGACCTGTCTCTATGTCCCATTCAGGGTCCGACTGGATAGCGGGCAACGCAATGGTGGCTGGAGGCCAGTTAAACTGTTCCTCGAAGTGTTCTGCCCATCGTTCCAGTCGTCTCCCCTGCGAGTGAATCGCAGATCCGTCCTTCTCCGCTATAGACCTCACTAACTGTTGTTGACCATTTCCCCCCAGTCTCCTTAATAAGTCTAAATAACTGTCTACTGTTACCGATCGCCGCTGCCTTTTCCATCTCTTTAGCCTTTGCTGCCCACCACTGTTCACGATCGTTGCGCAGACTTTTCGTCAGTTTATTTTTAAGTTGCGCTCGCTCTTCATTGTACTCAGAGCCTGCAGGGATGCATTCACGTGCATCCATTAGTTTGGAAGAAGCTGCTGATATCCACTGGCTCTTTTTAGCCATTATCTTGGAGTCGGCTACAGTCTCCAGTGCTGCTTTTACAGTAGACTGAAGATGGCACCAAGCTTCTTCTGGATGAGTGACAGTCTTTTGTTCCGATAACTGCCTAGCCAACTTCTCACTGAACACGGCTTTGGTGTTTTCGTTGTCCAGCAGAACTCGTAGTGGTTTTGTTGCCAAATTTTTTCTACGTCCATTGAGACGCAGGCATATACGTGCTCGGACCAACGCATGATCGCTGTCCAAACACGTACTCCAGAAGGAGCGGCAGTCTTCCACCGATCCTCTCCAGCGATGACTAATAGCAATGTGGTCTATCTGTGTCCATCGCTGAGTCGAGCTCGGTGGACGCCAGGTCAGACAGTGCCTTTCTTTATGTCTGAATGGCTAAAAATAGGCGGTTATCTGAGCATAGTTGTAATAGGCGATCACCGTTATCTGTACGTTCAGCTGGGATTCCGAAAGTGCCACCTAAGTGCCTTTCTGCCTCACTCAGTCTACCCACCTGTGCGTTGAGGTCACCTGCAACAACCACTACGTCCGAACGTTTGGCTTTCGAGAGGAGGTTAGACAGTTTATGGTAGAACTCGTCCTTCACTTCATCCAAACTACAGTCAGTGGGTGCGTAAGCAGAGATTACAAAGAGACAACGGCGAGTCTCACTATTCCTTTTAGTTCTCACTGTGCCGTTCAGCCTCATAGCGCAGAGGCGACTATCAACTGGGATCCAGTCTAGTAGTGAGTTTTCTGCCCTGGTGCTTAATGCTATACCTACACCTGCAAGACCACGAGAGCTAGCTATCGAATCTCCAGAAACTCGAAGGGTGAATTTTGCAGATTCACCAGATTGGTCAGGAGAGGTCAGGTGAATAACCACACTTGGGTCCTGTATGCGTGTCTCACAAACACAGCACACATCCATGGCCCGAGTTGCTAGAGTCTTTGCCAACGAAGCCTGTTGGCCAATTTGACGGAGGGTGCGGACATTGAAGGCTCCAATATGTAATTTGGAGCGTGGTTTAAGGAGACCAGGGATGCTGTTCTGTGGACTCAGATCGTTGTCGAAGGCTGCAGAGGTAGGAGAAATTGAAGATGATGCAGCATCATTAATTAAGAGACGTGAAGGAAGATTAGAAGGTAATGATGGAGGAGGAGGATAGCAGTCAGAAGAAACTTGGGTGCTGACAGAGTTGTGAGGGCGGTTGACACTTCCCGGCTGCCCACACCGTGGAAGGCTATTTCTTCTTAAGGTACCTGAAAGAGATTTGTGTGACCGCAGAGCCCATCGGACATCTGCTTGAGGCCTGTCACACCCAGCCTTTTGAGTATGATTATTTTGAATTTTTGTATTTTTGGGGCCGGATAGTCGAAAGGAAACGACAAGTGAACCAACACCGCCGGCCCGGCAGACCGTGGGGCGTGGTGGAGTGTGTTATTTTTGGGGCCGACCTTTTCTAACCCCCCCTTCCACTGAGAAGGCAGCATCAGCTTGGCACTGCTGGTCATCCAAGGGAAACACCTTACTGCTGTCACACCCCATCCAGCTAGCAGCAGTACGACTTCGCCCTCAGACCCCCATCATAGTGTAGCAATTTACACTATAACGGTAACTGCTTTTCGTCTAACCACTACCCAACAGACCTTTCTGGTATGGTAGGACCTCGAGGGAACAAGCGTTCCACCAGCATAGCTCGTTGGGTCATTGTGATATGCAAGCCCGACCACCACGTCAAAGTAGCAGCTATCGGTCGGCCAGCCCAGTTTGGCTGGCATTCATGTCACCTCACACATTAGAATTTTGATGTCACCATCGCCAACTGATGTGGGATGTTTGTGCGTTACTGATTGCAGTTGTCTATAGAATTCCTGCTCATTCTTCTCTCTGTCTGCATTATTTGTAGGTGCGTAGTGTAGCGTAGCATTCATTGTATGATTATGGCTTTCCTTCCTTTTGAGTTGAATCTTGTTGTCATGGTTTTGATCCTGCAGTAGGAGATTGGTTTCCACTGCATGAGAGCCTTTGATGCTGTTGGGGACATCATGATAGCCACTCGAAAACTCATTGTACTCGTGATTGTCGTCCGGGTGACAATATCGGAGTAGATTATTGACTCTCCAGTTGGCAGTTTGCAGAGTCCACTTCCACTCCATCTGCTTTTGTATATTCCTAGCACTTCTATTCTGTGTCATATTTTCTGATTCCTTTGGCAGTCTGTTGTTGTAGGTGTGAAGCTGTTGAAAGTTGTGATCGCGGGTGTAATCGTAGCATTGCTTATTATATTGCAATCAACATTTGACTAATGCTGATATTTGGCAACGGGTACCAGGCAGGAAAGTCAAGTTGATCTATCGTGTTGTAAACCTGTATCGCGTGATGTAGTTCGAACATCTGTTGTGTGTGCCAATCTGCCACATACTTTGATGTGCATGCTGAGAGTAGTTGGATTGGGTTGGAAGATGGTTCGAGGTGGCCATAGTGATGAGGTCACTGACTATGGGTCTAGATCGTATGAGTAGATGTAGACTGTCTGGCTGCAGTTTTTTTAGGCGAAAGAAGTCGTTGGTTGATGATTCTTATTGAAATTGGTAGAAACCGGTGCAATGGCACGAATGTATTCACTCTTTGACGTCTTGTGAATCTTGAATGTTTTTACTAACCTTTCTCCTCAAATTATTTCTTCTCCAATATACTCGTGTCCATTCTGCTATCACTCTTATTCTAACCACTTGTTATTTGCGTTCCAATGTGACCAACTGACGTACAGAATCAACGTAGAACCTTACACACAGGTGCCTCGGCTCAGGTTGCCACACTTCACAGTAGCACACATAGAAAAGCTGGATAGAAGAAGTAGGTAGGTAAAGTAGTGTGAGAGAATAAGCAATCCGAAAATAACGGTTAGCGTATATCTTCAAGTTTTAGAAGATGTTAAGTATTGAGTACATGTGTGCCATTGTTACCGATTTTCAGCCATGCCACAGCGAGTCCTCAATCACTGATTCGTTTCATCTCATGGATCCTAACCAGGCAGAATACACCACCCCATAAAACTCAGAACAACGGTAAGAGACTTTATCGACTAGTGCCAGGTCTTGGTTTTTTCACCTTAAACCCTCTCCCAACCTAATGCAACTTCCCCTAGCATGGCACATCGAGGTAGGCGATAACTCGGCATGCACAGTACATCTCCAAGTCATCTCAGCTAATGAAGGTTCACAACCTCATCAGTCGATTTGCATACCTTGACTAGTACTTTTCACATGACCTCAACATTGCTCACATGTTGATCCCACTATACGCCTGCAACGCCACGAAGACATATGTGATCAAAATTCTGTAATCACTTCATGTCTTCTGCTTTTAACCGCCATGTCTCAGCCGTACAACAGGACAGAACAGATTGCAATGGAGTATACTCGTCTTTTGGTGTATAGTCAGATATGTCGCTGGCTGCGCGGGTGATGCAAGTTTGGGAGTGCCAAACGGGCCTTCTGTATCAGAGCTGAGGTTTTGTCAACAACCATGCGTTTGGCTGATGCCACTCCCCAAGTAAGTGATGCAGTCGACACATTCTACGGCTTCACTTCCTATCATTAAACTGCAGACTTGTCCTAGCCAGAATGAACATGGCGTAAGTGAAAGAAGTCCTTGACTGTTGATCTTAGGCATGTAGGGAAAATAGACTTCTGGATTGGGGTCTGCGTCGCAACAGAAACCAGTGATTTGAGACTCTATGTGAAATTGGTCAGAATCGATATCTGGCGCAGATGTATCCACACATTATCCTCATCTTAATCGTCATCCTGTATTCTGAATTTTCGTATTCCTCATTATCTTATCGTGACTTTTCTCTACTTTGACTACGTCCCTCTTTATTTCTGTATCATTTATTTTGGTGCTCTATCGTTTGATGCCTTGATATGTGGTCTGGCAACTTGGACTGTTATGCAGTAATACCAAGTTCTATATTGATTTTATCTGTGTCTGATGATTTTCGACTTGAAGATTTTACTAACTGTTTGTTGAACCAATTTTTCATTTGCAAACTAGTGGGACTGCGGTTAAAAGTAATTTTATCAAAAATCATTGGTCCTAACTAGAGGTGTAAAGGTTAAGTCGTTTAGTGAAGAGCATTTTTTGTACAATTTCTTTCTTTTATAACTTTTATACATACATATCTTATGAGCATCGGGTAATTCACAAAGGTTGGCGAAAATACGGAACATAATAATCAAATATAAGTGAAAATTAATCAAAATACCTTTGAAGCTGGATAAGGAGCAATAAATTTGCATGAATACCTGTGAAAACGAAATACGTTCAAACGATTTAACTATAACATATCGATATTAGCTTGAAGTTAGGAATAAATAAATAAGAAGGAATATGATTTATGAAGCTTAACATTTAAACTATAGCAGGCAAAGAGGTTCACTAGATATTTTTCGTACATACTGATCCTAATTTTTTGTTCGAGTGGCTAATGCTTTAGCGATAAGTCACCTTTTTGACGCATTTGTAACCTTAACTAGGAGGTTGTTACAAAGGCATGGTTTATTTCATGATGTCTTTGTGTAGCACTTGTGCTGAATTTACCGCTCCTCATCTAAAGCCATATGGGCTTGTATCAATCATTACATTTTTTGACTCAAAAAGCTTGAAATAATTGATATGTATTATCTGGTAGGAGATGAATAAGACATGTTGAAGGAGTCAGGCACATGAGCTTATCCTTCAGATTTTTAGAAAGTGGAAAGAGGGTAAATAAGACTACTCTCAATCCTTGTGCAAAGAGTTTTATTCTAAGATTTTTAAGTCTCCCAGATGCTAACGTGCGAATACACTTGAAGTTGAAATCGACGTAAATATACAAGCAAAGTTTTCTCTCTGTGAATTGAGCCTTACGCTTTCATTCTACAAATTGTTGTGGATGTCTTCAGCCACTTCTCTGAGAAGAGTATCTTCTTCGTCAGTCTCATTCGGTTAGGGAATTAACTTTCAACCAATGAGTCACGGGTTCGAACGCTCCCCCACCTACTGAGGTTTGGGCGGCTGCGTAGTATCATTAGCCCTCACGCAATAGGTATGGCTCCACTGCCTATGGTACAATTTATTTATTTATTTTTCTAGGTCATTGCATTTCAGTCGTACGTTTCTCATTTTGAAGTAGATTTGATAGATTTTGACAGAGATCATCCTTCTTTTCTTTAGAATTGAAATCAGTGTATGCATAGGTTAAAAATACAAATAAATTGATGTGTTTTCGATCCCTTATATGTCTTACAGGACCATTTATGTATCATAATTTATTTAGTTCTAATGATTTAGATTGCACTACAATAACGATATCTTTTGTTATCATTAATATTTGCATATCTGTTCCCCTAATTTTTGCAAACAACTGTTGTGTCTATCGATAATAAGATTTCCTTTGGTTTTAAACAGCCACTAGTAATCTAATTAGCAAAATAAGTTTTAACTCCATTAAAAATTATGGTAAAATAAAAGGTTTATTAACTTAATTGTGGTTGTATTAGTTTTCAATTTTATTGCTATTAAAAGCGAATTAGGCCTGTCATAAACGTTTTCTTAAATCTTGTAATTTATCCGTCAAAGTTACACGATAATGTAATGCACAATTTTCAGTGCAGTGAAACTTGAAGCAATCATGTCTATTTTCACTGTTTTATTCATTTTTATAGGATGAAAGGTCGCTTAGTATCAGAAGTTCCAGCACCAGCTAGGAAAGTTCTTGATCCTACTATGCCTCATCCAGATCGATATGATCTATATGATCCTAGAAATCCACTTAATGTTCGCAAGAGAGGCGGAGATATGGAAACTGTATCAGAGAAAAAGTCTCGACGTGTTTGAGAATTTGAGAAATTTATATCTGACAGTATGTATATATTTTATTGTATGTCTATTGCTTTTACGAAACATACAATGTTTCCATCTTCGAATAGTTCATTCTTTTTGCAGACAGGTTGTGGATTGTTTCCGTTATCTGTATTTTATATCTTGTTAGGTATTGCAGTTTTGATGGCTATGAAAAAGCTATGTATTTATCACTGAAAATAATCAGATAAACAAGCTTCGCTTCGTAGTTTCCTAATCACTTTAACCAACTATAGATGATTTGCAGTTCTTATTCCGTTTCAGCACATTCTCACTGTTATCGTATCATCAGTTGAAAAGGAAATTGTAGTTCTAGGATAGTTTGGAATGCTATAACCGGTGGTGAATATTTTGAGTTTCTGCGATAGGCCAAACGATTTGTATTTATCTTCGTCAGACGTTCTCATTTGTCATGTATTAGATGCACTGCTGTCAACCTTATTAACTAGGTTGCATTGTTTATATTGATTATACATTCACGCTTTGGGTGTGTCTTGTGCCCATGGTGAAATTATTATAAAGCAAATAAAAGAAAAACCTTACTTCTGTTTGTAAGGATGTATTCACTGCTTATTAGTAGAGCCGTGAATCATTGATCTAGACGCTTGATTTCCGACATATGGGTAACAGGTTCGAACTCAGCTCCACTTACATTAATACAATAGATATTGGTCTACGACAAAACATTTTGATTCCTTTGTCCCCATGATATCAGATGTAAACAACCGTCATAACCTTAGGTATCCTTGTCCGGAAGCTGCAACAAACATTCAGTGGTTAGGGTTACTGACCACAATGGACCAACTAAATGTCTTGGTTCATAAAAGTTCCAACATGCGGAGTACTATGCCACACAACCGTAAAAACCTAAGTGATATGATACGCAGCAGATACCGTGAAAATATAAACGCCCACACCTTAAAAGGCGAAAAAGGAGAAGAAATATAGTGACCAGCAAGCTAAGAGCAAACAAACACCACAAAAGTATCACATATGAACCGTCTACCAAAACTAATGCACATGAGAAACCATATTATTACGTACACACCAGAATCATTCTGACGAACATAATGTGTGAGATTTTCAGTTGTGTAATTATTACACAGGTAGTTGAATTTCGGTGAGGGTGAACCTGAGGAAACCAGTCAGTTATTTTCATACTTTGTGGTGGTTGGGTGTATGGATCAGATCCTGAGTGTCTGTCAGATCTTTGGACAGATGGAGACTTACTGGAGTTCAAGGAGGTCTCCTTTTCGTCGTCCGACTCCCGAAGGACAGACTTTGCGATGAGAGACTGTTTATTCGAAGTAGAGTTTGATGAGGACATAGTCTTGTAAGATGAATTTGCTGACAAGATGCAGAGTGTTCTGGCCACTGAGAGACAATTGGAGAATGCTGGGAATGCGTTTCTTGTCATTCAAATGCAGTTAAATCGGTGAAGAGTTTGTGAGTTGTGGAATGAATCACTTTGTTACGGGTGGATTGAAAATGAATGTTTGAAGAGAGTGATGAGATTTGTAAGGTTTGGAAGTATTTGTGGTCAGGTTAACTTGGATTCCATCTATCGGTGCGATTGTGGATAGTGATTTCGCTCGAAATGTTGGCAAAGCTGAAAAAAACTTAAAATGTGATCATTGTGTTTACAAATTTCTTCTAAATTTATGTTGAATAAGTGGGAATGTGAATTGCTGCTTTAAGAGTATAGTGGGGGAATGGAGTGAAATGTTTGAGCACGTTGACTGCTTCACTTGCTTGGGAGGTCGAATGAGCTGTGATAGGTGAATGTTCGACGAAATCTTGTCACGGATACGAAAGGTTTGATTGGCTTTATCCAACTTAGGCCAGTTGTGTCATCAAGGTGATATCCGATTGCACACTAAGCGTCGAGTGTACTGCGCATCAGTTGACTCTGTTCTACATGATAGCTGAGAAGGATGGTCATTGGAGGTGGAAGACATGAGAAGGCTCTTGGTGTTAATGCATTGTTGCCTTCGCAGCATAGGCCATGTGTCACGGAGCCACCACGTCAGTAGCGTAGAGTCTTGAAGGGAAGTGGTGGGTCAGTTGATGAGGTAGTGAACCCCGTTGGACTCAGGTGGTTGGGACATGTGTTACGCATGCCTGGTCACCATCGCACAATGTTATCTGAAACGAGTTCGTGCAGGTAGAGGTGGGGTGGGTGGTAAGACTGAAGTTTAGCCTCAGGATATAAAGTCTCTGACTGTTGGTCTGTGCGGTGTAGGCATGGAGGTGTAGACTGACTGGTTGGGTTTCTGGAGATGATAGGAATCGATGTTAGGGGAATGTTGGTGACATGTCTGAAAATCGGTGACAATGCCGCAGATGAATTGCTTCTTTGACGTCTTCGAAAGTTTGAACATTTCCAGTAACCCTGGCATATATGCATATATTCTATCTCCTGCGATACACTTTTGTGTGCTTTATTGTCACCCTTTTTGTATCCACTTGTAGTTTGGATGCTGCTGTGGAGTGTGGCGACTTGAAGGGTGCACTTCTGTGCGAGGTATGAGGTTGATCTGTTTGTCTGTTGCCTGTGTCCGTGTAACTTGTCTGAGTCGTCGATTGTCTGTGTGTTAAAGGAAGAAGAGAAATCCTGGTGAGAAAAGCACAGTGGAATCATTCTGACGAACATAATGTGTGAGATTTTCAGTTGTGTAATTATTACACAGGTAGTTGAATTTCGGTGAGGGTGAACCTGAGGAAACCAGTCAGTTATTTTCATACTTTGTGGTGGTTGGGTGTATGGATCAGATCCTGAGTGTCTGTCAGATCTTTGGACAGATGGAGACTTACTGGAGTTCAAGGAGGTCTCCTTTTCGTCGTCCGACTCCCGAAGGACAGACTTTGCGATGAGAGACTGTTTATTCGAAGTAGAGTTTGATGAGGACATAGTCTTGTAAGATGAATTTGCTGACAAGATGCAGAGTGTTCTGGCCACTGAGAGACAATTGGAGAATGCTGGGAATGCGTTTCTTGTCATTCAAATGCAGTTAAATCGGTGAAGAGTTTGTGAGTTGTGGAATGAATCACTTTGTTACGGGTGGATTGAAAATGAATGTTTGAAGAGAGTGATGAGATTTGTAAGGTTTGGAAGTATTTGTGGTCAGGTTAACTTGGATTCCATCTATCGGTGCGATTGTGGATAGTGATTTCGCTCGAAATGTTGGCAAAGCTGAAAAAAACTTAAAATGTGATCATTGTGTTTACAAATTTCTTCTAAATTTATGTTGAATAAGTGGGAATGTGAATTGCTGCTTTAAGAGTATAGTGGGGGAATGGAGTGAAATGTTTGAGCACGTTGACTGCTTCACTTGCTTGGGAGGTCGAATGAGCTGTGATAGGTGAATGTTCGACGAAATCTTGTCACGGATACGAAAGGTTTGATTGGCTTTATCCAACTTAGGCCAGTTGTGTCATCAAGGTGATATCCGATTGCACACTAAGCGTCGAGTGTACTGCGCATCAGTTGACTCTGTTCTACATGATAGCTGAGAAGGATGGTCATTGGAGGTGGAAGACATGAGAAGGCTCTTGGTGTTAATGCATTGTTGCCTTCACAGCATAGGCCATGTGTCACGGAGCCACCACGTCAGTAGCGTAGAGTCTTGAAGGGAAGTGGTGGGTCAGTTGATGAGGTAGTGAACCCCGTTGGACTCAGGTGGTTGGGACATGTGTTACGCATGCCTGGTCACCATCGCACAATGTTATCTGAAACGAGTTCGTGCAGGTAGAGGTGGGGTGGGTGGTAAGACTGAAGTTTAGCCTCAGGATATAAAGTCTCTGACTGTTGGTCTGTGCGGTGTAGGCATGGAGGTGTAGACTGACTGGTTGGGTTTCTGGAGATGATAGGAATCGATGTTAGGGGAATGTTGGTGACATGTCTGAAAATCGGTGACAATGCCGCAGATGAATTGCTTCTTTGACGTCTTCGAAAGTTTGAACATTTCCAGTAACCCTGGCATATATGCATATATTCTATCTCCTGCGATACACTTTTGTGTGCTTTATTGTCACCCTTTTTGTATCCACTTGTAGTTTGGATGCTGCTGTGGAGTGTGGCGACTTGAAGGGTGCACTTCTGTGCGAGGTATGAGGTTGATCTGTTTGTCTGTTGCCTGTGTCCGTGTAACTTGTCTGAGTCGTCGATTGTCTGTGTGTTAAAGGAAGAAGAGAAATCCTGGTGAGAAAAGCACAGTGGAATCATTCTGACGAACATAATGTGTGAGATTTTCAGTTGTGTAATTATTACACAGGTAGTTGAATTTCGGTGAGGGTGAACCTGAGGAAACCAGTCAGTTATTTTCATACTTTGTGGTGGTTGGGTGTATGGATCAGATCCTGAGTGTCTGTCAGATCTTTGGACAGATGGAGACTTACTGGAGTTCAAGGAGGTCTCCTTTTCGTCGTCCGACTCCCGAAGGACAGACTTTGCGATGAGAGACTGTTTATTCGAAGTAGAGTTTGATGAGGACATAGTCTTGTAAGATGAATTTGCTGACAAGATGCAGAGTGTTCTGGCCACTGAGAGACAATTGGAGAATGCTGGGAATGCGTTTCTTGTCATTCAAATGCAGTTAAATCGGTGAAGAGTTTGTGAGTTGTGGAATGAATCACTTTGTTACGGGTGGATTGAAAATGAATGTTTGAAGAGAGTGATGAGATTTGTAAGGTTTGGAAGTATTTGTGGTCAGGTTAACTTGGATTCCATCTATCGGTGCGATTGTGGATAGTGATTTCGCTCGAAATGTTGGCAAAGCTGAAAAAAACTTAAAATGTGATCATTGTGTTTACAAATTTCTTCTAAATTTATGTTGAATAAGTGGGAATGTGAATTGCTGCTTTAAGAGTATAGTGGGGGAATGGAGTGAAATGTTTGAGCACGTTGACTGCTTCACTTGCTTGGGAGGTCGAATGAGCTGTGATAGGTGAATGTTCGACGAAATCTTGTCACGGATACGAAAGGTTTGATTGGCTTTATCCAACTTAGGCCAGTTGTGTCATCAAGGTGATATCCGATTGCACACTAAGCGTCGAGTGTACTGCGCATCAGTTGACTCTGTTCTACATGATAGCTGAGAAGGATGGTCATTGGAGGTGGAAGACATGAGAAGGCTCTTGGTGTTAATGCATTGTTGCCTTCGCAGCATAGGCCATGTGCCACGGAGCCACCACGTCAGTAGCGTAGAGTCTTGAAGGGAAGTGGTGGGTCAGTTGATGAGGTAGTGAACCCCGTTGGACTCAGGTGGTTGGGACATGTGTTACGCATGCCTGGTCACCATCGCACAATGTTATCTGAAACGAGTTCGTGCAGGTAGAGGTGGGGTGGGTGGTAAGACTGAAGTTTAGCCTCAGGATATAAAGTCTCTGACTGTTGGTCTGTGCGGTGTAGGCATGGAGGTGTAGACTGACTGGTTGGGTTTCTGGAGATGATAGGAATCGATGTTAGGGGAATGTTGGTGACATGTCTGAAAATCGGTGACAATGCCGCAGATGAATTGCTTCTTTGACGTCTTCGAAAGTTTGAACATTTCCAGTAACCCTGGCATATATGCATATATTCTATCTCCTGCGATACACTTTTGTGTGCTTTATTGTCACCCTTTTTGTATCCACTTGTAGTTTGGATGCTGCTGTGGAGTGTGGCGACTTGAAGGGTGCACTTCTGTGCGAGGTATGAGGTTGATCTGTTTGTCTGTTGCCTGTGTCCGTGTAACTTGTCTGAGTCGTCGATTGTCTGTGTGTTAAAGGAAGAAGAGAAATCCTGGTGAGAAAAGCACAGTGGAATCATTCTGACGAACATAATGTGTGAGATTTTCAGTTGTGTAATTATTACACAGGTAGTTGAATTTCGGTGAGGGTGAACCTGAGGAAATCAGTCAGTTATTTTCATACTTTGTGGTGGTTGGGTGTATGGATCAGATCCTGAGTGTCTGTCAGATCTTTGGACAGATGGAGACTTACTGGAGTTCAAGGAGGTCTCCTTTTCGTCGTCCGACTCCCGAAGGACAGACTTTGCGATGAGAGACTGTTTATTCGAAGTAGAGTTTGATGAGGACATAGTCTTGTAAGATGAATTTGCTGACAAGATGCAGAGTGTTCTGGCCACTGAGAGACAATTGGAGAATGCTGGGAATGCGTTTCTTGTCATTCAAATGCAGTTAAATCGGTGAAGAGTTTGTGAGTTGTGGAATGAATCACTTTGTTACGGGTGGATTGAAAATGAATGTTTGAAGAGAGTGATGAGATTTGTAAGGTTTGGAAGTATTTGTGGTCAGGTTAACTTGGATTCCATCTATCGGTGCGATTGTGGATAGTGATTTCGCTCGAAATGTTGGCAAAGCTGAAAAAAACTTAAAATGTGATCATTGTGTTTACAAATTTCTTCTAAATTTATGTTGAATAAGTGGGAATGTGAATTGCTGCTTTAAGAGTATAGTGGGGGAATGGAGTGAAATGTTTGAGCACGTTGACTGCTTCACTTGCTTGGGAGGTCGAATGAGCTGTGATAGGTGAATGTTCGACGAAATCTTGTCACGGATACGAAAGGTTTGATTGGCTTTATCCAACTTAGGCCAGTTGTGTCATCAAGGTGATATCCGATTGCACACTAAGCGTCGAGTGTACTGCGCATCAGTTGACTCTGTTCTACATGATAGCTGAGAAGGATGGTCATTGGAGGTGGAAGACATGAGAAGGCTCTTGGTGTTAATGCATTGTTGCCTTCGCAGCATAGGCCATGTGCCACGGAGCCACCACGTCAGTAGCGTAGAGTCTTGAAGGGAAGTGGTGGGTCAGTTGATGAGGTAGTGAACCCCGTTGGACTCAGGTGGTTGGGACATGTGTTACGCATGCCTGGTCACCATCGCACAATGTTATCTGAAACGAGTTCGTGCAGGTAGAGGTGGGGTGGGTGGTAAGACTGAAGTTTAGCCTCAGGATATAAAGTCTCTGACTGTTGGTCTGTGCGGTGTAGGCATGGAGGTGTAGACTGACTGGTTGGGTTTCTGGAGATGATAGGAATCGATGTTAGGGGAATGTTGGTGACATGTCTGAAAATCGGTGACAATGCCGCAGATGAATTGCTTCTTTGACGTCTTCGAAAGTTTGAACATTTCCAGTAACCCTGGCATATATGCATATATTCTATCTCCTGCGATACACTTTTGTGTGCTTTATTGTCACCCTTTTTGTATCCACTTGTAGTTTGGATGCTGCTGTGGAGTGTGGCGACTTGAAGGGTGCACTTCTGTGCGAGGTATGAGGTTGATCTGGTTGTCTGTTGCCTGTGTCCGTGTAACTTGTCTGAGTCGTCGATTGTCTGTGTGTTAAAGGAAGAAGAGAAATCCTGGTGAGAAAAGCACAGTGGAATCATTCTGACGAACATAATGTGTGAGATTTTCAGTTGTGTAATTATTACACAGGTAGTTGAATTTCGGTGAGGGTGAACCTGAGGAAACCAGTCAGTTATTTTCATACTTTGTGGTGGTTGGGTGTATGGATCAGATCCTGAGTGTCTGTCAGATCTTTGGACAGATGGAGACTTACTGGAGTTCAAGGAGGTCTCCTTTTCGTCGTCCGACTCCCGAAGGACAGACTTTGCGATGAGAGACTGTTTATTCGAAGTAGAGTTTGATGAGGACATAGTCTTGTAAGATGAATTTGCTGACAAGATGCAGAGTGTTCTGGCCACTGAGAGACAATTGGAGAATGCTGGGAATGCGTTTCTTGTCATTCAAATGCAGTTAAATCGGTGAAGAGTTTGTGA